GGACTCTCTTGGCTTTTGCTTCTAATCCCACCCCCTGCCACCCCTTACCGTCCCCCTTCGTGGGGGACGTATACTGTATGGTTATGCATTGTCCAGATTATATTTTTGCTGCCAAGGTCCCTAAGGATGGATGTTCTGTACCTTTAGGTAATCAGAAAATCCCTGAATACATAGTTACCTTCTCTGCCTTATATACAGAACTAAAATGTGTGCCGGTACCCCTAGCACTCCAGGTATGCCGAAGCCATCAAGTGGTCACTGCTGTGAGCTAATGTGAACCCCTTTCCTAATGACCCAATTTCAGTAGTTGATTTTCTTCCTCTTAGTGAGATAGCAATTATCAGGTTCATTATTCTCCATTGTGGTTTGGGGACTTTAAAAAAAATGCTAATTCCTGGTATACTTATTAGTTACAGACTTTTTTAGATCCTTTTTTCTTTACTATCCTTGTTTTAACTTCTAATCCTATAACCTCAGATTGCTACTATGCAATCTTATAGTCTATTTCTTTAAATCTTTTCTGTCTTTTTGACAGACATTTATTGGGTACTACTTATGAACTAAGCTCTGTGCTAGGTGTTGGAGACATAAAATTACTTAGGCACAATCCCTGCCCAGAAAGGCGTGTATATGGGTGTCACAATGTCAACAAAACCAAACTGATGGCATCCGTTCCTTTTTCAAAAGCTCTCAAGTTAAAGCAAGCATCAGAAGTTACTATTAATTCAACAGATAATGCAACTTTAAATTTCCCTAAGGTAACAATTTGTCAAAGCATTCAGGGGCAAATGTTTCTGTATATGTTGTGATATGTACAAAATACGAGTGCGTGAGCTGAAAGCAGGTGTAAATCTTTCAGAATGACTCTTCAAAACTGGTACTATAACTTAATAATTGCATGGTCTAGGCAGGAAATGCAAAAGGAATAAAGTAAAGGACAGATGGTTGTGGGCCACGGGTTCTGAGGCAGGATTACTTCACAGAAAAGATGAGATTTGTGTTGAGCTATAAAGTATGGATGAATAAAGGTGGAGAGTATGCCAGGTGAGAGAAAGCATAAACTAAGTTATCCAAGTACGTAGAATTAAACATGGGAAAAGTACCAGTGAGGTGGCCAGCTTGAGGAAAAAGTTAAACAGTGAAATCGGGGTAGGGAGGAACTTAAAATACAGAGAAATAAAAACATGGTAGAAAACACTGCATCTCCTAAGGAAGGCAACAGTGTGTTGAAAATGAGAGTTTAAGAAAATTCTGCTGTTACTGAGGGGCAAGAGACTCATGTAGGAGAACTTGAAACTGTACTGAGATAGTGGTAGTAGGAATAGAAGGAAAAAATTCTGACATCCGGGGCCGAAAAGTGAGTGGGGGCAGGGGGTGCGAAGTACCAAAAGGGCTTAGGTTGAAACTGCAAAGCATATGATGATTCAAGATGATTGTAGTTTTTAGACTGAGAGAATAATAATGCTTTTGATAGGAATCAAAGAGTTGAAATGCTTATCTACATCATTAAGAGGAAGAATGAGTATTAATTTTATTTCTTTTATACATCATAGAAGTAACCCATACTTGTAGACAAACTCAGACCACAGAAGTGTTTGAAGTTAGAAGTCAAAGTCTCCTCTTTTCAACTTTTCCCTTCCCCTGAAGTGACCCTAGGAGATTTCAGTAAAAAAATCCATTAGGTGATTGGAAATCAGGAACTCAAATTTTCATAGAAGTTTTAAAAGATGTAGAAACCTTAAATTCTGCTAAGGGTAGGCATAGGAGAGACTTTCTTTTCTAAAGAGAATCCTACTACATCTAACTTTTAATCTTTTTATCTGTATCTCTTTTATATGGTGTCTTTTAATTACATTAGCATTTTTATATGTAAATTACCTTTATGATCTAAGTTCCTTCTGTAAATTTCCTTGAATTTAAAAAATTGATTCAGTGGTATAATTCATTCAGTGAATATTTATTGAGTGACACCACCTATTTGCCAGTCTGTCTTAGGTTCCAGAGATACATTGTTGAACAACAGAGAGACTGTAACAGTCATTTACTTAGCACAGCATTCTAGTTATTTGTTAACAAATAATAATAGTAACATTTATTGAGCATTGACTTTGCCACTGTTCCAGATGCTGTTGACCATCCCTAAACTACTTTTGATATTTGTTCTATACTAGCTGATTGTTAGTATGAATGTCTGTGGTTGTCAGATCATATTTAAAACTGACTTTAAGAATCAGTTTTCTACTATTTAAATAATATGCGCTATTTAAAATTTATTAAATTCTGTCTGATAACTAGGTCTTGAACATATAATACACTTGATTCTGAGCAACATATTTTCTTAGTACTTTTTAAAAAGTATTCATGGAGTTTTTAAAAAAATAATTTGCTTTGCTTTTGACTTTGTTTCAGATGGCCGAACAGACCCAATTTTGGATGATGTTAGTGAAGCTTTCCAGCTTATGGGCGTTAGTCTTCATGAACTAGAAGACTATATTCACAATATTGAACCTGTCACTTTCCCACATCAAATTCCTTCATTTCCTGTTAGTAAGAACAATGTACTTCAGTTTCCTCAACCTGGAAGTAAAGATGCAGAGGAAAGGAAAGAATACATTCCTGATTACATGCCACCAATCGTGTCTTCTCAAGAAGGTTTGTAATTTTTTGTTCGTCTCTTACTCATATACTCATGTAAGTATTTCAGTGGGTTTTTAGCCTTCTCAGTTCTCCTAACTGAATTATATAAAAGCTATGCCAACCTATAAATTCTAGAAATACAAACAAAATGTTTTAATGTTATTTACAAATCATTCTAACCTTTAAGTGAACAAACTTGCAGCTGGCATCACCAGGCAGAGCCTTGGCACAATCAAGGTTCTGCCTGATGAGGCATTTAATTCCTTTGTAAGTTTTAAGATGGAGAGAACAGGGTGTGTCCACGGAGACCTTTCAGTAAACATATCAAATGAGAATGGGATATTTAAGTAAAGTAGAAAACCTTTGAAACAGAAAAATTGAAACAGAAAAATAATAAGGGTAATCCCCCCTTTATTATTATTAATGTGAGTTGGATGAATCTGGGAACAGTGAATGAACAGTCACTAATAATTATGCAGATTTATCTCCATCTTTTTGTGAGAAGTAGAAATGTTTATAGTTTGGTTATATAATTTTTTCTTATAAAATAATAGCTTATCAGGCACAGTAGTCACTCATTGCAGAGTTCTTTTTTCCCTGCATGATTTTGCATGTTGATTATTTAGGTTCACTAAGATTCTAAAGAGATAAGTAATTGTGGTCTCTAATCCAGGTACATAAAGTTTTTTCTTGTAAAAAATTACAAAAGTTGCAATTCATTTCTTTTTTCAATTCTAAAACCATAGATGTACTTCAGAACAATGCAAATGATGGCAGAAATAACTTTTATTTGTGATTTTTTTTTTTTTACTGTGGTAAAATATATATAACTTAAAATTGACCATTTTAACTATTTTTGGATGTACAGTTAGTTCAGTGACATTATTCACATTGTCGTGTTGCTATCACCATGAGAACTTTTTCATCTTCTCCAATTCTGGCAACCATTAAACAATAAGTCCTCATCCTCCTCCCCCCAGGCCCTTTGTAACTCTTTAAAAGTCCATCTCCTCCCCACCTTTGAATTTGTGTTTGTAGCCTTTATTCCTTTGAGGAACTCTTACTATTTATAATCCTCTGTGTACAGTCCTTCTCTAAATTTAAACCCCTCGCTCCCTAATGTCAATGTTTTTGATCTAAGAAACTTATATTGTTACTTCTCTAAACATATATTTATTTACTTTAAAAACATTGCAAATGTATTTCATTATCAGCATTATCAAAGAAGGTTTTCTTGGGCAGAGGCCTGATGGAAAAGAACTCCATTTTCTCTTACAAACAGGACACACGTGTCATGTGGGCCTAGAATTTCCTTCTTTGCTTTTGTCTTTAAATATAACTCATTAAGCTTCCTAGACATCTTTATAAAAGTCATGCTGAGCATTGAATCCATGACATGTCCTCTTCTGTGGCTCTGAAATTTTTAACTGAAAGGTACTGAGAAGCACACAAAATTTGGAATTGTGCTAAGAAAACATGAATGGCTATCCAGTGCTGGGAGAAAACTTAAGGCATTGTATAGGAGGAAACTAAAAGAAGGACCCTAACATGCGAGTAACTGGCACATCGGTGATTCTCAGAATGATAGGGCATTCTGAGTTTTGTATCTGTCTCAGTGAATTAGACGGTGGTCAAGTTTGATGGCCAAGACTTATATGCATTATCAAGAGGCATGTGACTGAGCCTCAGCTACTTTCTTCTTTGTTTGATAGATTTCAGCCCATTTCCTCTCTGCTTTTAGGAGCTTTCTACATGTGATGTGTAGTTTGTATGTCTTTCTGTCTCCTGTAATACCTATTTAATAGTTAAACTGTTTGAATTTTGTTTTTTTCTGACCTTTTTAATAATTTGGACTAAGGTGGACATTTGATTAATCTTAATCCTTGATTTGTGCATAGGCTTATCTTTGGTCCCTGCATAACCTATATTTATCTATTTGGAGAGTTATTTAATTATTTTTTTATAAAGAAGCTCTAACAAGCTCAGTACTCAAAACCAAGACAAGGACTTGAATGTTAATCTCCACTTAACCAAATCCCTCTTGTTTTATTTTTACAGCATGCCAATAATAAACAATAAAATTTTCTCAAAGTGATATGGTTATCATGTTTAAATACTGCCAAGGAAATGTAACTAAGGTGTAACTCAGACTTACGTCTGCATTACATTTGGTAGTGAAGGAGTATGAGAAACAAGTTAATGATTTTATTTTATTTTTTATTTAGTTTTTAAAGATTTTTATTGGGAAATTGGGGGATGGGAACAGCGCTGGGGAATTGGGGGAAGGGGAACAGACAAGCCGCTGTCCCCTTGCTCTTCAGTCCAGCCGTGGAGGACTTTGCTTCACTGGCCCAAGTTGGCACCATCATTGCGCTCTTCCCGGGCAAGGCAGATCAGTCGCCGGCTTCTGGATGGCCACTCACACCGGCTGCCGGCTACACACGGTAGCCCATGGCAACCCACTGCCACAGGGGCTACAGCCCACGCCATCGCCGGCGACCCACAGCAGCCCAGCTCCAGGTCGAGCTGCCGTTCAGCATCCTAGCTGTAGAGGGCAGTGTCACCGGCCCTCATATCTGGGATTCGAACTGGGGTCCTCTGGCGTCCCAAGCCAGCTCCCAACCACCGCGCCACTCGGCCGGCCCCAAGTTAATTATTTTAGATACTCACTTCTGTCTGAAATTACTACAGTAAAATTTGAGTTTCTCTTCTGGAATATTTGAAGCAAAGGAGAATCGTATTTCATTTGAGTTTTTATGAAATACAAATTATAACCATTTAAAAAGGAAAATAACATAAGTCTGAACACTACCCGTTTTTTAGCTATTACTTGTGGATTCTTTAAGGAGTAGAAATTTGCTGATTGATAAGATAATGCATATGATTCATAAGGATGCAATAAATGATAGGCAGTACATTAAGGTGCTTTTCAAAACCTTTTCCCCCTGTTCAGGGAAAAGGGTTTAAAATGTAGTCCTGTGGTTTTCCATTTTTCAATATAGCCACACAAGTCAACTTAATATATCATTCCAATCCGAAATCTCTTTTGTCATGGGTACAGCATGTTAGCAAGTTCCTAGTATTCTGCTTAGTGGAGCAAATTGCGGTGCAGACGTGAACAACTTTATAATGACACCTGTTCGCCAAGTTCTTTATTATCCTTTTATTTCCTTATGAGCCGCATGTGACATGCCAGACTTTGGTCATAAAATGTGATTAGCCAAGCACTGTCACAGGACTACTGTCTTATCAGCCCTTCCAATTGGTTCATGTCAGAAAAACATTTGAATGTCTTCTCTGCCATGGTGAGTATGTAAGAATGGAAGGAAGGGGGCGGAGGCTGTTGTAGAAAAAGCATGGGCTTCGTGGAGCCATTCAGAGGGGACTCACCCAGTTTCTGGGTTTATAGTCCTACCAAGTTCCTTTACCTTTCTGAACCTTATTTTCATCATCTGTAAAATAGGTGTAATAATAAATAAAAACAATTTGAAAATTTGAAAAAAGCAAGCTCACTGATACAGAGAACAGATTGGTGGTTGTCAGAGGTGGGGGGTGGGCGAAATGAGTAAGGGAGTCAAAAGATACAAACTTCTAGTTATAAAAAATGTCATGGGATATAACGTACAGCATGGTGACTGTACTTAATAGTACTGTGTTATGTGTTTGAAAATTGCTAAGAGAGTAGCTCTTAAAAGTTCTCATCACAAGAAGAAAACTTTTGTAATGATGTATGGTGAAGGATGTTAACGAGACTTACTGTGGTGATCATTTCCCAATATATTAGAAATACTGAATTATTATGTCGTACACCTGAAACAAAGATAATATTCTACGTCACTTGTACCTCAATAAAAAATATAATACCTACCCACGTGGGTGACAGTCAGGGTTAAGTGAGATATTTTGTAGTACATTTACATAAAATAGGACAGTGCTTAACATATACAACACGTAGCCGTGAACATTAGTTCTCTTGCCGTTTCGCCTTCCTTCTTTTTAAGGATTTTACTTTTGAATTGAAATACAACATACATTTATGAAGTGACTACAATGAGCATAAACCTAGAACAGTGTTCATCGTATGCTCAGGGGCTAAGGGAATGCAGACCCAACAGCTGGGCTGGGGTGGATTCTTGACTGAGGAGCTGTTTGCATGGCAGCAAGCAGTGTGAAGATGACAGAGGAGGAGATGATATAGAAGGAATGCTTGTTCACTGGATCATACTCCTATTTCCCAGGAGTAACCTTGTTTAACGCGTGTGAATCCTTCTAGATCTTTCATGTCAAGTGTCTCAGCTCCTTAGACTCAATCAAGAGCTGCGTCCACTTCAGTACCTGCCATTTATTTCCCAGTCTGCAGTCAGACTTCTACTCTCGCCCTTTTCTTGACACAAACTACGTCATTGGCTGATCTAAAGGACATTTTTATCCTTACAGATCCTCTTTTTGGGAGGAATAGCTTAGTGAATTATTAGAAGGCAAATCAAATACCGTTTTAACCACCTCCCAGTTCAAAACCTAAAACTTGACCAACTACCCCAGAAGCCCCCCAGGTGCCCAGCCCTATTTACAGCCCCCGCCTGCCTCCCTCCAAAAGTAACCACAATCCTAACTTGATAAGGGAGTACTTCTTTGCTTTATAGTTTTATCAGCCAAGCATGTATTCCATGACGCTTTAGTTTAACTTCTTTACACCGTCCTCTTGTTTTACTTTACATGTCTTGAGGACTCCTTTGATCTACAGCTCCCCCCACCCCACCCCCATCCCCGCCAACCCTGCTATTGCCAAATCCCTTTCTTTTTCTTCCAGTGTATGGAAGAATCTGGGTGGCTTGACTTACAGGGTTGCCGCAGACTGGATTTTGCTGACTGTGTGCTCCTAGTTCAGTGTGTTTCTTGCACGCTGGGCAGCAAAAACCAGAGGCTGGAACAGACTTGGGCAAGATGGATGCAGTGTTGTGTTCCTTCCTCAGGAGGCTGACGTCTGGTTTGCACTTTCTTTGATACTAGCAGTG